ATTGGCCAGCAAACTCACCAGACCTGAACCCCATAGAGAATCTATACCCCATAGACAATACCCCATAGAGATTCTATGGGGTATTGTCAAGTGGAAAATGAGAAATGAGAGACCAACAAATGCAGATGAGCTGAAGGCCACTGTCAAAGAAACCTGGACTTCCATACCACCTCAGCAGTGCCACAGACTGATCTCCTCCATGCCACGCTGAATTGAGGCAGTAATTAAAGCAAAAGGAGCCCCTACCAAGTATTGAGTACATATACAGTAAATGAACATACTTTCCAGAAGGCCAACAATTCACTAAAAATGTTTTTTTATAGGTCTTATGGGGTATTCTAATTTATTGAGATAGTGAATTAGTGGGTTTTTGTTAAAGGTGAGCAAAATCATCACAATTAAAAGACCCAACGGCTTAAACTACTTCAGTCTGTGTGTACTAAATTTATATAATACACAAGTTTCACTATTTGATTTGAATTACTGAAATAAATGGACTTTTCCACAATATTCTAATTTATTGAGCTGCACCTCTACAGTATGTTAATGAGGACAGTGGAGGATATGGCAGTTTCATTCATTTAAAAATAAATAAATACAATAAAGAATATTTTCTGAAGTTACTGAATGCAAAGACGCACACAGCAACTCAAACATGCCCCTTTTCCAAATATACACAAATACAGACACAGCAGAATGTACTGAGATCTCAAATGTAGTAAAAGGATAGTTTAAACTTAGCTCTGACTGGTTACAGAGGTCGATTCTGCTCAAAACCTTTTAGAAGCTAGTATCTCTGCACTGCTGCCAGTGCTACTTAATGAGTCTGGACCACAGGATGCTTCAGCAGCACCTCTCCACATTAAGGACAGTTCTTTTTTTCCAACTGGTGGTGGGTACAAGCTCAGATAGGCCCTTCTAACAGCTCGAGGTCTATAATAATCCCTCCAGCTGTTTATACCAGGTATATGACCTCTGACATTTCCTCTGGTCAAAATTACTCCTAGTCACACTGCGGTTAAACAGTCAGTGTTTAATGACTACATAGTTCCTGGGATGATTTACTTATTTCTATAACTTCTGTAGTTGGGAAAGAATAGATCTGATAGGAATGACTGTATATGAGGATATAGCACTATGAAAATTCATTCAGAACTTACTGATCAAAGACACAATTGTGAGGCAGTTTTTTAAGGAATTATCAGTGACGCAGCACCCTCTGCTGGTGGAGAGGCTTCACTTCAGGTAGTAGGACTACACATTAAAATGCTGTTGGTAAGAATACAGACTGGTCAAATGGTCAAAGTGTTTATTTGTCATATGCACAGTTAGGAAATGCGTTTCCCTGTACAATGAAATTCTTACTTTGCTGTCCACATGAATGCCACAAAATACAAATTAAATGTAAAGTAGATAAATAAGTAACACAAAATCTAAGGCACTTTAAAGCAGCAAAATGCAGAGATATAATAAAAATATATAAGAATATAATAAGAGAATGTATGCTGCATGGGAGCAACATGTGCAGTAGTCAACAGTCAATGTGCAATTATGCATGTGCAAACTGAGAATGTAGACAGTACAGGTCGACAGTATGTTAGGTAATTTTTTAGTCAGATAGATATTGGTTAGATATTTGTTTTATTAGAAATGTTTAGTGGAGACAGGATGTCTAGCTCAGGCTGTTATTCTCATGAGTTTTTTGCAGGGTGCATATGGCCAAGGACAACTAGATAGAAAAAGTTTGCAGGCAGGAGGATTATTGTTATTATTATGATATGTGTAACCGTAATTGTAATCATAATATTTTCTTATGTGTAATGTCATGACATGTCACTAGAGGTCATGTCAGAATGTTCTTAGATACACACCACGTAATCAACATTCACACACATTGATTTTCTTCATGTTTTGACTATTGTTATGGTCAGCTCCAAGCTGGCATATCAGGTGACGCCACGGTTTGACGTCCCTGTGTAGTATGGGGCTAGCCCACTGAAGTGATAAAAATGTATAGGCATTATGGTTCAGGGTC